TCCATAGCCTGGCCAACCTGCCCTATGCCCTTCCCAGCAAGCCTTTTGGTCTGTATTTATTTTTTTTTAGCACAATTGTGTGATCATGACCATCCATTATGTTTAAAGACAAATAAAGAAAAGAAAAGAAATAGGGGGAAAGACAAACAGTTCACTTGGGAGAGGGGAGAGGAGAGGAACAGAATCATGCCCACTCACACCACCACCTGATAGCTCACATATCACAACTATTTGGGGAGTAACTTTCCATGAGAAGGAACACTCCAATAATAGATGGACTGCAGACCAGCACGTGGACAGACAATGTGTCATGTGATAAGTTATGGCCATAGACACTACTATTTTGCTCTAATTCCATTTTTCATGCCCCATGAGATAAAGTCTCAAATTAGATGAAGAAAGTGTTAAACTCTTCCTTCACAACCCAGAAGTTTGCACTTTCAGTGTTCATGTGTCTCATCTATAACTTGCTTTTTGATTTCTTCCTCTCACCACCTTATTATAAATTTTTGTCTTTTATGTACAAATGGCTCAACCTCAATCAGTTTGAATAATTTAAGGATCAATTGAATTTGAAAAATCTGTTGGAACACTAGTTTAATTTTTGCCAAAAACAAACATCCTTTGGAAATGGAAACACACACAGCCTATCTCATAGTTTGGTTTTTTCATGCATTGTTGGGGGGGAAATGTGTATCTGTGGGAATTTGCAATCAATATTGATATATCCTTGATTTTTATTTTCCTTCTGACTGGTCTCAAGCATTATGTCAGAAAGATACTCAGCCTTGACATCCAGTGCAGCATGGAAGGTAATCTCAAGTATGTGTTTTACAACTGGTGCATATTTGAAACATGCCTATGCATTGACATCTAGAAATCTCATAGGCCCAGTGCACTCAGTGAAATGGTAGGGGAAGGATTAATGAGGTCTCTCTAGAATTTGCTGTCATCTCAGGTTTGGTCTTGATCACTGATTTAGCCTTTCCATACAAATCCATAATGCTCAAAGTGAATTCACTGAATTTTGTAAACTGCACAAGGAATAGCTGCAAAACAGAAAAACAGGGCTTCAGATGAGGTGACATACTAAACAAGTCAGGGAGAGATCATTCTCTCTCTTGCTTTGGTGTGCTCTCTCTGTGCAATTCAGTAGTTGGCTTCCCCTCTCAACTGGAAATGTAGTACAATGATATAAGAAGAATATCTTCGTCTGTCATCAGTTCTCCCTATGGTTGTGTATTTCTCTATTCTCATTGCTAAAGAGACTACGAAAGACTCCCAGGCCCTGTATTTGCAAACAATAAAGATTTTTATGTAAAAAAAAATTAAGTGAAAGTGCTTCATGTTTCACAGTTAAGAAGCTAGAGGGACAGCAGCTAAGCAGCGATTGTGTGAATAGCTAAGATTGTTTCCTCTTGTAAACCTAAAGCAAAATAAGCCAAAGAATCTCTTCTAAATGGAACAAAGACTGTGAGTAATTATAAATAAATAAATTGGAATGGGAGGAGAATAGAATGGAAATGCTTAACTAAAGCTTTAAAGAGTAATAAACAGCATTTTCTTATTTGGCACTGCCAGCCGGATGGTTGTTATGCTGAGTGGATGTTAAGATTTACAAAAGAAAAGCAAATTACAACAGCCTAATTAAATGGGACGGTGATTTTGAAGAATTGAAATACAGAAATATTAATTAAAGTATAAATAAAGAGAGAAAATACATAATTATGTGTCATAACAGAGACACAATACTGATTAGAAGTTGGCAAATGTCCAAGAGCCCAAAAAAAAAAAGGACTCAAGCAAATAGTTTTAAATTAGAAGAGAATCTAAACAATATCCTTCAGACAAAGCTTATTTTCATTTACAAAAAGCAAACTCACAAG